GTAGACGTAAAAGATAGACGAGAAGATGGTTATCGTCTAAGGACATTAACAGATTGCCATGGTTAATAATAGACGGAAGCTCACTCCAGAGAAGGCGATAGGTCTTATCCACTTGTAGTGGGTTGTGAGTAGTGCCCCCTGTAATGGCGCTGAACCGAGAAGTGCTGGGCTGACGATAGCCAGGGCCAGTCCCGTTCGTGCCCTAGATATTATGAATAGGGTGAGAAAGGGAATGGAGTGTTCGGTGGCATTGGGCTTACCCGATTTCTGCTGGACTGGCAGCCAGGGACGCCAGACCTGCTATGGTAAGGGAGAACCCTATTCGATGCTCGTCAATGGTATCTGCGACCCATGAGAACATCCACTCACATGCTCCGGAGGCTATGCCATATAGCACGCAGACGACAACTAATGATGCAGCGCCGTTCCTACAGCTTAATTGAGACGGTTTACGAGTTGTGACTGATTATTCCACGTACACGCCCAGAACGGCCCAGATAAGAGCACCAGTGGCCAATAAGGAAGGTATCTGGACATTCCATATGCCATAGGTGTCGGCTAGTAAATTACCCACAATTCGACCTAAGGTCGAGGTGCCATTAAGGATTGCGACCTAACGAGACACATATTAGCCATGCTTTAAGCGGGAACAGCCACTGTTACTTACAGAATAAAATGCTAGTTTTTTGTCTACATTGTGCTGGACAGAGTAAAGTTGTAGGTAGATTACTACCCGTCTTATTAGGCTTAGACGTTCTGGGAGCGCGGCTCGACCTACCCGGGAAATACGTCCCAAGGAGGGCTATGACCGACCTAACTTCATGTTAGTTCTTACGGCGAAGACCATGAAAGAAATGTCACAAGCCCTGAAACGAAGGCGACGTAGGCTGGATCTTCGAAAAACTGCATAATATCGGGAGACCGTTCCTTTGAACGGTTCGTGCGAACGGGGATTCGAATGAGTAAATTTCCGGTTGTCAGACATCCCAGGACCATGTACGCTGTTATTCGGACGCCTGGGCCGAAACCCATGCGTGGAATGACGTGGCTGTTTATAGCAATCAGGTATGAAACGATATAAACCGATGGCCATTTACTTGAGAACTAGAAAAAGTGGTCAGCATGTGACTAGTCAACCCTGAACGGTTTGATTTACTTATCGGGAATGTCATTGAGCCGAGTGAAACGCCAGTAAGAACAACACCGTAGGCCAAACCACGCCTTTTTTTAAAATGGAGACTGATTATGGCATTTACAGGCGTGAATAGACACCCTGTGCCTAGCCCCATTCCAAGGCCATGGCTGAGGAAGACCTAACGATGTCTGTCAATCGATTATCTTGTAAATTCCATGCGTAGTACCTGATAATATTGACCTTCGTGTGCGAGCGACAACATGAACAAGCTGTGAGAAATGTCTCTTTGTCTGATCAGATTAGTTGACGAGTGCTGGCATACCATAGCGTGAATAAAACAGATCCGAAGACCATCACAGAGCGGATGTGGCCAGCGTCGAAAAGCTTTCCGACTATAATTCCCACTGCAAATGGTATTGCTAACTGAGCACTGCCCATCCATCTGAAAGACAAAGGCTTAGGGACCATCTTAACGATAACTAACTTCAGAACTCACGAGATCCTGCTCGGTGAGTTGTCCTTGAGGAACACTCTAGTATAATAGTCTCCAGGCGTGTCAGCTTTGTCCTTGGACAACTGAACCACATATGCTATTCACCTTGAAACACGCCAAACGAATAGACATAACTAAGATGAATGAGTACGAAAATTTGAAGAACCTTGAAAGGTACCACATACCCCTGAGTACTGAACATTATCAGCCAACTAATGGCGAGTTAGGTGACTCTGAGTTCGCAATTACTGACACTTACGAGCCAACAACAGTCATCCAGCCATGAATTCCCCCGTCAACGGGCGCATCAAAATGCGGCGGCAGCGTACTGCCATTTCCAGCAGGACCACCCTCGGGCTTGTCCACGTCGAATAGCTCCGCACTTTTTACAGACGCATGTTTGCTCTCTGGATCTTGACATGCAGTCCCTCTAGACTCAGGACGTTGTCCATTTTCCATATGGGTCATCGGTGGACAGTCGGATAGGACCACGAAAGCGCTTGTTGGAGAGCACCTTCCGGACTGGTGCAATGAAGGAACGACTGTGCGCGTGCCTTCCGGGAATGACGTGAAAAGGCGGATAATTGGAAATGAAACCCTGTGATCTGGTAGAGATTATATCTTCGTCCTGCATGGCACCCAGGAGACTGTCAAGTTCACGGGGTCAGAAGAGAAGCAGAAGAGCTACGGCAACGTAGACCCAAATGGGATAGTGATGATGCCATAATCGGGTGCCGAAAGCAACTTGAGGAACATCAATGTTCGTCATTCAGTCCATTATCTCACGATAACCGTTAGTTGCAGAGGGCGAGGACCCCAGTAGATCCTATGCATACAACTGGGGCTCTAGATTCGCGTTTCGGCTGCAGACGGCATAGTTCAGCTGAGCGGGGATAGCACAAAGCATCCTGGCGCCTTGGACAAGTTGAACACGAGTCACGACACATGTGGAGCAATTACACAACTGCGGTAATGGCACCAAGTTGGTATTTTGATCAATTTCCGACGACATTGGTATAGTAGAAGCAGATTGCGGATGGATTGCGGCTGGGCCTGAAGGCTTGATCCCACGAGTTGATGAGGTGCTCTATGTATGCATCAAACACAACACTGACAAGCTTACATCCGCACTGACAACGGGTTAATTGTACCAAGGCACCACCGCGTTGAGCTATGAAGGGAACTTCAGCTGAATTTGCAAGATCCCTCCGGAAACAGAGGATGTAATTGCGGGGCAAGCGGCGCACTGGCAGTAAGAGCCGCCTTCCAAGCATAAAATTGTAATCGCAAGGTTTCGTCGGAAGTCATGGAGCACGTAATTTTAGCAAATGAGAGGCAATAATGTTGTAAACAGAGACGCCATGTGCCCGTCCTATGCCCATCTGCACCCGGCGGTTCCCACATTACACTAGTTTATTATGAGATTGAATTGGGCACGTTTCACAAGGAATGCTGGTAGCGGTGGTATAGACCATAATCTGTAGCCCGCATGCATCACGATCGATCATGACCCAGCAAAGCCGGTGAGCACTGAAGTGCTGAAGCTACGGAAATGATGTACGTGTGGTTTTTGGAGACGATGGGGACGTTGACATTCACAGACCCTTCGTATCACCATATCCGAAAGGCTTAGCAGCTTAATGAATCATAGCGTTCCGTTATAGGATGGAGATACGGATGATGCATAGATTTCCAAGGGTCAGTTGCCTCTTTTTTGTTTTGATAGTAATCTGATGGACAACAGATCATGATCGTCGAAAGAAGAAACTTTAAAGCAGGACAAACCGCTGGTCGGATGTATGCTACCCCGTAAAGGTTGCACACGATTTTTACCCTTCACGTCTAATTTAACGGTTCATCTTACTATTCCGATCTCGTTTTTAAAACTTGCGTCAGTGACCGACCTCCCAAGACAAGGAAAAAAGAGGATAACTGGGATGCTAAATCGCCACCAGTTACTATACTTACTTACGGAAGTAACCAACATTTGTGATTAACTGAAATTCAAAGGAAGTCGATAATACCTCCGCTGGTCAATACGTACCAATTCTGACAGTCAAACTGCCGCGACTAGGGCCCACTGTATTTTTTACTTTCATTCCAGCGTTCGAAGCGATTATTAATAAAATCTTTCTCCCAAGAGCCACTAGGGGTATAATGCAGTCCAACTTCCCTCAGTAGATTGACCTTCTAATAGTGACAAGATGCCGAAGGTTTGAACTCTTCGCCTACAACAGTACTACTGTTGCAGTGAATGCCGTGAAGGATGTCATTCCGCAAGAGACGGTATACCGGTGGATGCGTAACCGGGTTAGGGCATTTCAATCGGCCACCTATTCTGAATCTTACATACCAACGCACGATAGATTCAAAACATAAGTAATCGATCCATTGAACTTTCGCGATTGACCGCCGACACTGGCAGTCCTATTAGGTCCAATTGCGTGGAATACAAGATGCGCTCTTGCACTGACACAAACATGGCGTCGTCCAATTATAATACATTAAGTCCTGGGTCTCAGCATCAAAACTTAAAATGAGCTTAGATTGTAATGTAAACACTTACATAGGTATTTGAGAAAGCGCACTATATGCCTCTAATATCGTACTCTCCATTCTCGGTCCGGAACCGGGAACTGCCGAACCGAGATGGGCAATACTCCGTCGATCGTCCTCTACGCAACACTATTCGCAGTACCGGCCTACATTTCCTTCAGACTAATAAGAGGCGTAGGCGCAACCTCATCTACGACACGGGTACCCGCAGAGGACTCAGACAGAGAATTGAAGAGTGTCATGCAACCGCCCAGGATGGACCTTGAAGATCCCAAAGACGACCCCTTTACACCAGAGGTGCTTAGAGAGTATGACGGTTCAATTCCTGGAAAGCCAATTTATGTCGCTATAAAGAGTTCGTATTATCCCTGGCTCCATTATCTTGCAGTATAGCTAAAGGAGGAGTCCTTGTTGACAGGTACAATCTTTGACGTGTCTCGTAAGGCGGATGTGTATGGACCTGGGAAGTCGTATAATATATTTGCGGGAAAGGATGGTTCGAAGGGGCTGGGTATGTCTAGCCTGAGGACTGAAGATGCCGTCGCAGATTACACAGACTTGGATGACAAGGACAAGAAAACGTTGGATGAATGGTATGATTTTTTCAGGTAAGTATCAACGTCATTCCCTACTGCGCTTAGATTTTGAATTTCGTTTCCTAAGGAAACGATATAACATTGTTGGCCGTGTTGTTCAGGGTGGCAGCGGGCGGTCCTAGTTATTCTCCTCGATGATATTCTATTAAAGTTGGGTGTGACGTGTAATAAGGCAAAATGTTAATTTGACTGTAGGTTTGGATAAATCATGATTTAACAAGTCGGTATCGATTAGGGGTTAAATCACTTCGTTGTGGAGTACACTACCGAAGAGCCGCTGGTTCGATTCCAGCTACCGACATTTTTTTTTCGATTCCCGTTGGTGTCTGAATGGGGATTATTGTAAAGTGAAGTGGAATTGCTATGTGATTATCAATGAAGAAATCATGATTCAGTAACGCAAGGAGTGTATTCAATTATCACGGCATCTGTCTACCAGGGCAACGTGCCGTCAGAATTTTAATAGGGCAACGAGAGGATCGAGGCAGTGCGAGAAGCATATACCCAGGCTATAAGTTTCGCGGTGTGGTGTCCGCTATAATTAACGACAAAGAAGAGAGCATAAAGATAGATCTGGACACATGCTCTGTAATACGATGAACACATGTTTGAAGGATTGATGGGTATCAACCAGCGAGATCATCTACCCTTGTACACAGAGCTTGAAGTTCCCCAAACCCAACACTCGTGATAGGGCCATACGAGGGAGGTATACGTTTGACAAGGGAAGTATATAACGTGAACAAGGGACGAAATAATAAGGTAAAGTGTAAAAGCAGGACCAAATAATTAGCTAATAAGATTGCTGTTGTTATGGCGGTTGTTCGCTCTTCTTCCACCTTTTGTAACGCCTGCTTATTTCCTCACCCTCCCACCACTCTTTCGTCCTTCCTCTTCTTTTCTTATATAAAAAATGGGTTGTGTACAGTCAACAGGCGTTGATGATGAGGCCAAGGCTCGTGCGTATCTGTGTCCGTTTTTTCAGTTTCCGTAGTTCACTCCGCACGTCGCAGGCAATGACGAGATTGAGAACCAGCTCAAGAAAGACCGTATGATGGCCAAGAATGAAATTAAGATGCTGCTCCTTGGTGCTGGAGAGTCTGGCAAGGCGCGCTCGTCTCATCTTCGTGTTCATGATTTTTACTGAACATACGTCTTTCTCCAATAGTCGACGGTGCTCAAACAGATGAAGTTGATTCACCACGGCGGTTATAACGAGCAAGAGCGGGAATCATACAAGGAAATCATCTATTCAAACACTATCCAGTCGATGCGGTAAGTAATTTTGGTTTGGTCCCGTTTTATCCTCACTAAATGCTACTATATATTAGGGCCATCCTCGAAGCATTACCTCAGCTCGACCTGCAGCTCAACCCTCAGAACGATGCACGGCGTGCCACGGTCCTTGCCTTGCCACCCCAAATTGAATCAGACGTTCTGCCTCCTGACGTGGCCGATGCGGTCCGATCTATTTGGCGTGATCCTGCTGTTAAGGAGGCGGTCCGGCGCTCTCGAGAATTCCAACTTAATGACTCAGCGGTCTATTACTTCAATGCCATTGATCGCATGGCATCCCCTGGTTACATGCCAACCGATCAAGATATACTCAGGAGTAGAGTGAAGACAACCGGTATCACGGAGACGACATTTAAAGTTGGCGAGCTGACGTACAGACTGTTCGACGTCGGAGGTCAGCGCAGTGAACGTAAGAAGTGGATACACTGCTTCGAGAACGTCACCGCCCTAGTATTCTTGGTCAGTTTAAGCGAGTACGATCAAATGTTGTATGAGGATGAGAGTGTGGTATGTTCCTCCAACATTTTGCGTTTGTCATCTCTCACGAGTTATTTTAGAATCGTATGCAAGAGGCCCTCACTCTTTTCGATTCGATCTGCAACTCGAGGTGGTTTGTTAAGACGTCGATCGTAAGTCGAATCCCGAAGTATTGCATACCTTTCTAATTCGTGCAAATTCTAGATTCTTTTCCTGAACAAGATTGATTTGTTTGCGGAGAAACTTCCCGTATCGCCCCTAAGCGATTACTTCCCAGACTTCACGGGCGGTAATAACTATGACGCTGCCTGTGACTATCTTCTGCATCGCTTTGTCTCATTGAACCAGAGCGCGGCGACGAAGCAAATCTATGCGCACTATACGTGCGCCACAGACACCAACCAGATTAAATGTGAGTTATTAGCACGCAGAAAGCGCATGTACTCAAATCTGTTTCAGTTGTATTGAGTGCTATTCAAGACATTTTGCTCCAGCTGCACTTGCGAGAATGTGGCCTTCTATAACCGCTTGCAAGCGTAACGCTCACTTTCAACCGTCCGCATCAGCCTTCGTCATGCCCTCCTCTTCTTCTTCTGCAACATATTTCTTATTTATTTCTTGACCACTCTGATATCCACTCTTATTCCTGGTGACGCTTTCTGCTTCATATTCATACCCCATTCCTTCATATTCCACTTCCAGGCCATTATCGTTTTTCCCCTGTTTCTGATAATTGTACCGTAATCCGTTTCGTGCTGTTTGCGATTCACTCCCATCATCCCTGCATCTGCCGACGGAAATAGTCAAATATCAGAAAGCCTTCATTATCGGGCCGATGGAAGTCACCGCATCTACTCTTCCGCCCAGCTATTTTGACAGGAGCCGCAGTTGCGTAGCACGTTGCTAGTGGCTTAGCTGGTTCTGGATCCTCTACTCGCTTTCCGTCTCGCGTCATCAACATGGACTCATCATAGGCATACCCCATCACTTCGAATGGCAAGGATTTTACCACCCTACTGCGCACTGGAGAATCTTCATTTTGTGCCCCTCTTCTTTAATCGAAATGTGGTATACATGTCATGGGTGTGCCGTGTGTGTCGATACGTCTTACTTGGAGAAGTTCTATTCTTGTGCGTGGACGTTACGAATCGAATTTACCGTTCATTGTTGTTGGAAGCTGGGATTTCCACATTCTTTTCCTTGTCTCTATTCACTTATACATTTACTTAATATCCATAGCCAGACAGTTAATTGACAGTGAAAAGGATTCCTCATTATGTATATTATACGCGCTCTGTTTTTGCCTTGTGAGATTATTTGCTGGTGCAGCTAGCCTGTAATGGCGCCCACTTCACTTTTGTCCTCAAAGGTTGAAGCTTTGAAGCTTATCACAATTAAGAACATTTTAACATCAACACCTGTATCGTCAACTTGTGCCCCTCCACATTGGTGGCAACGTGCCACCTTTCCGGAACTTCAGAGACCGGAAGTCGGCTTGGCAAAGCTAACCAGCAGGTTATTCCGTCCTGGCGTGTGCGTTAGTATCGTCACACCATCTAACATGCACACCAGTGTTCAGTATTTTCTCATCAACGTACTTCTGGTCGACCACAATGTCAAGCCCGGGGCCCACGTCAAGGGAAGCATGAGGATGAGGAAGGCTAAGTTAGGGGGGGCAGTGTGTCGGGGTCGATCGGGTAGCGACGGGCGAACGAGGCGAGTACGAAGCGGCGCGGCGCAATTGCAATTCGAAAGTCCCAACCTACACATTTTAGCAGACAAGAGAAGAGAAAAGCAAAAAAACATCGAGATGTGGCATTAATTCCTATTGCTATAAACAATCGAACGGCGGCCTATTGCTGTTCACAAGTCCGGGACGGCCTGTTCTGCCTCTTGCCATACTGTGCCGATTTTGTCGTGAACTAGCGCTTTCACCAGTTAGGCGGGTTGGCGGTTGGGGCTCCTTTCCCTCCGGCTCGCGCCCGACGAAAAAGGGTCATCGTCTTGCTCAACTATTGTCCTCCTCGTAGATTGTGCTGTGCGACCTTCCTGCACGGGTGTCAACTTTAGCCCAGTGGTCATCGTCATCGTCACCGTGATCTTTCTATCCTCTTCAAGAGCCATACGCTCGACTCAGGGAACTGCTTCTCAACATTGATTTCTTCAAGAAACTCACCGCGATCATCACTATCCTCTTCGGGATCCGCAACATCGTCACCTCCCACATCGGGCGTGTCGCAGTCAACGATGACTATTGTATCAACCACCTCTAAAATTGTCTTCAATTTTTGTGACAACTCACCTTCTCCTGATGACCAGATGTGTGCATAAGGAGCACGCTCATACAAAGACGAGGAATGGATCGGTGAATGATAATGATGCTCATCGTGTGTGTTATGTGCGTATGCAAATGTAACGTTATGAATGTAAGGAGTCGATATGTCAGATATCAACAGGTATTGCGGGTTTGGGTGAAGAAAGAGCGACGTTGTGCCCTTTTTACCGCTTGTATGGGTTGACAGTGTCAGCCGCTGAAACCTGACTTGGAACTTATGGTCGGCGGCTGACCTGGTCGAGCATAGCATGCTGCTGCAGAGACGCGCAGAACGCTTGGTGAAAGCTCACTGGGCATAAACCGAACGATGTATGTGCTGCTAGCATTGGCAGTGGGTTCTCATATTGCACTGAATTGACCATCACCATACAATATATTGTATCAAATATGCTGGGACATTCTCGCCGCACAGCTGGATGCCTAAGCTCTGAATAGAAACAACTCACTCCTCCACCCGAGATTGCATCGTGAGAAACGGTTCCACATAACCCATGGCATGCCACCGAATCTCGCCCAACATGTGTCGGGATCGTTTCTCTTTGACGATGTTTATTCACGTTCTCCAGATCCATGGCCATATACTGAAATTATTGCATCTTCAGCTGTGTCATCTAATATTTTATTCTGAGTCCGAACGTTTGCATATCTAGTATCAATTGGGTAAGATACTTGTTGCATTCGATCGGGCTTTTGGAAAGCAATGTCATTCTTTTTTCGACTCCGATATGTGCACATGATCCACCCGTATGATTATCCTGTGACACTACTTGGGGCTTGCTGGTAAGATGGACAGTTTCCGCAGACTAGTAGTTTCGCACGCTGTCGGTTTGTTGTCACATCAGAATCACTAATGTCTAGAATCGTTCCTCTCTCATGGCAAACTTGGATCAGGACCGATCACGCTGAACAGACTGGGCGGCGTAGCTGGGAATGATCCCACATCTGTATACAGTTTTTCCCGACAGTGCCTGATGGATTACCGCGACATGTCGAAGTTCAGGGGACCCGCACAACCGTGCCTATACCAGTTTAGAGCGGTGGCGATTGATGATCTGGAATCTAAGATGATCACTACGTCACATGTCCATCTCCGTCTCGGCGATATATATTGCAACTGAATATACCACTAGTAGAACCCACGAAAACCGTCAATGACAATAGGGTATATGGAGTGGCGAATATGACTTCGCACG